AAATGAAAAGCATTTTCGCTACTGGAATTTATAGACTACCAGAGTTTTCCCAGAAATATTATAGATCTCTAACCAAAGTAAAATAAACTTATGGCTACTATGGTACCAAAAAGAAGGACCTGTGATTTCAATTTTACTCTGTTTTATCTTCTTCTAGATCGCCAGTTGGGTTGTCGTTTCCACGCAGCGGTTTAATGTCTGGTACACTCCGGACGTCCTTTGAAGGTGAGGATATTGGAGATGGTCTTATGAGCGTTAGATTTGTGTCATCCTTGTCGAACTCTTCATGTGCGTCTTCGGAGTATGCATACCTGAGGAAAATGGAGGATGAGAAAATGTACAACCCTGGAACTGAGAAACCAAGTTTATAATTTACCTCATCGAGTTTTGAGAGGGCGCCCAGAGAGCACAGATGACACACAGTAGAGAAAATGATAAGATTTGCCAGAAGGCAGGAATAATCCATGCATCTTGCCACTGCTCATTGTAAATATCATTTGACTTGAAATACAGCTGCCAGAATACATTCGAGAAAGTACAGTCAGCGACTATTTTTGTTCATTTATTTCCAAAACCAATGGATGAATGGGCCTGTGTCTAAATGCGTTCTTATGATAACAAGAACAGGTCTTCAAATGCAAATTACCTCGTAGCATATCCAACCCACGGATACAATGACAGTTACCGCCAATGCATTTGTGAATTTTCTATAAATGTCCAATTTAGATGTCAACCTTCTAGCCTGTGACATCACACAGTAATAGAGGAAGGCCAATCAGGAGAAGTTATAACACAAGAAATGCAGTAGCATAAAATGAAGGTAACATCTAATATTAGACTTGGGCAGGGATATCAACAAAACCATGCCTAGTTTTAGCCTAAAATCACAGAAAATAATACTGCTTCCACTAAACGCATGTTTCAATTAGAAGGTCCACTTAAAAGACCAATAGACCATGATTTCCTTGGTACTAACCTACTTCATCAAAATATTAATTTGAATAAAAGAAGAATGCTTTCTCAATATTCTTCAGAAAACCACTTGCTAGGAGGAAATTATTATTTTTTTATTTTTCTTTTTATATGAAAAACGATTTCATTAATGTAATGAAATGATGAAGGTGTACAAAAGGGGAGAACATCCCAAACCAAAGTTAAAATAACTCTCCAATTGGTTAAAAGAGAGAAAAAACTAGTGTTTAAAGATAGGAGAACATTTGCACCAAGTGTATCATTGGCACTACAGACTCGAATATTTCAAAAAAGAAAAATCAGGAAGACAAATAAAGAAATAATTGTTATGGACAAACAAGCTACCTGAAGCTTGCTTAAAGTTGCAGATAGGGAGGTAAATATCCAAAGAATGAAGAAAGCATCCAAGATTGCCACAGGTAGAACCAAGAACAGTCTAGCTTTTCCTGAAAGATCACTTACTGCACCCACATTCTCCACTAATTCAAGAACTTCAGATGCCAGAAAGAAGGTTAATCCAAGCATCAGCACCTTTGATGTCAGTCCACCTAGAGTAGGTCTTACAACACCATAACCCATTGAAACCATCAAAAGTATCAGACGTGCAATTGTACGCTTAACAACTCCAAAGGTGACAGCCCACATGGTAATCCCTGTTGGTCTAATCCCTGTCTGGTTGAATTCAGCATACTCAAAATACCACAGAGCCATCTCAAACATCCCCAATGTTATGACAACCGTAATGCAGTTCTGCAATGGAAAAACTTCTTTCCAGAACCTTGCATACTGTGAGAACCAAAAGATTCCAAGCAACACATAAGCAAAAGACATATACAAATAAAACTTCATCAGAGGTGCCATTCTACCCGGTAGATATCCAGAAGGATTTTTCCATATGGTTTTCCCTTCGACAACCACATTTTTAAGCTTTGGATCACAATGGATGAAATACAAGTTGTACATGCCAGTTTTAGTAATCTGAATTGATTTTGTCGCCAGGGTTGCAACTTGCTCATCTGCGTTGAAGGAGACCCCATAAACTTGAGGCCAGCCAGGATTCTTTGAGGACGGGCGGTAAATAACTTCTCCTTCTGAGCAAACACCTAGCTTAGCAAGATCTACAGTACAACAGATTGCCCTTTGGCCACCATATGCCGAGCCTCCAACCATCTCTCTATCTTCCACCTCAAAGACAATTGCATGCAATGGTCCCGAGCTGAAGTTGGAGAACTCCTCGGGCCTCCGAAATGTAATCTTTTCGAAGCTGGTTTGACAGTACACTATAGAATAAGGTAACTATCACAACAAAGACAGAAGAAGAGATACACCACCGACAAGCTTTTGAAACTTCCGCAGGCAAGCTAAGCTACATTAGCACTAACAGGTTTTCAATAATCACTCACATACAACAAAATTCTCAAAGGTCATCGAAGATGGAAAACAAAACAAAACAACATTCAATTGCAAAAAAATGAGAAAACAATTTCCCAAATAACTCAATACGTCCGATAATCATCGAAATCCAGACCCAACGGCAGTGGCAGCCACACAGGAATCATCGAATCAGCACATAGAAGAGAAAATACGCAATGAAACGGGATAAAAAACATACCGAATGTAGGATTCGCCATTATTAGAAGAATCCGCGTCTGGGTGGTTGCGGTTAGCGTGAGAGGAGCGAATTCCCTCGCTGCCGCCATGGACAACGAAGGCATTGCCCTTGTTGACGAAAACATCAGCAGAATAGTGGTGGACTGAGGCGTGAATGCAGGAGGAGGAGATGCATAGTAGGAGAGAGAAGGAGAAGAAGAGGTGGTTAGAAAGAGAAGACATGGAAATTAATCTCAGTCGGAGCTTCAAAGAAATGGAGGTTGGAACCCTAAGTTGAGAGTAGAGGAAGAAGAAGAAGAAGAAGTAAAGCTATGGATCTGTCAAATGCTTGCTTGAGCGCGCCAGATCTGTTTCTGTGACCCAAAAAACACGAACACGACTCAACTTAAATGGGTAACTGGAGTTCCAGCTTTGATTTGAGTGTATTTTACATTTATATGCTTAAAATATTATTTTTTTGAAATACAATTTTAATTTTTTTCTATCCGATTTTTATATTAGATTTTTTTTTTGTAAAATTTGTGTTAAAATTTTATAAATAGTTATTTTTTAAGAGCCAAGAGATCCAGATCAAGGCGAATATTTAAAAAAGGTGTTGAAAATACCATGTAGTGAACCAAAGATAGAAATATAGATTTTAAGCGTATATTAATTATTTACATGATTTAATTGGGTTGAGTAATGAGTGGGGGATTGGGCCCGCGCCCTCCTAGAATTATTCTGCTCAGAGTCAGTCAACTTCGGAGAGACACGTGGGGATTTTAGGACCGCTTGATCCATTCCCCTTTCCTTTTTCCGCCATCCGATTTGCGACGGAACCTGCCTTACTCAACTGTCGGTGTATGAATAATATATTACTGTAGTTTTTTTCCTTTTCCTTTTCCTTTTTTGCGTTTTTGTTTTTTTTTTGCAAAGGAATATATTACTATTGAACTAATTAACTCGGATATATTTTTTTAGTTATGTGATTTAAAATTTCAGAAATGTTATTTAAAATGAATATAATGGAATCTTTGGATGTTGACTCAAAAGGAAAAGAAAATAAAAATTTTATTAATATAGATTTTTAATCTTAATTTATTAATTAAAAATTCAAATACAATAAGGTTAATAAGCAATTTATTTACAAATTCTGCCAAGTATAATTCTTTTTTAATCCAGAGTTTATTTGAAATTCAAATTTCTGAGACTCGAGTTAAGAACCTATTAAAAAAACGAAATGAAATTAAAGGAACCTTCAAACTTATAATTTAACTAATTTTTATTTAACTTTTTGTGGCAGAGTTAAATCTTTTTATCTCCCATTAAATTTTTTGTAGAATATGAAATTACATTGATTCATTTGTAAAAAACAAAACTAATAGCGAGACATTTCCCCATTTGTGATTTTTGGAAATTGTTATTTTTTTTTCCAAAAAATCATGTATATTTTCTCTCAACAAAATAAAAAAAACTATAATTAATTACAATTTAAAAATAATATAAATATAATATCGACCCATGTTTTCCTAATGATCTTATAAATTTTGTTCGCATCAAATGATCAAAAGTATTTATTGCGAGAATGATTACTTAATTTTGTAGGTATTTTCAAATTAATAAATATAAAACATAATAAGACCCAAAAAAATTTCTTCAAAAGAAAAAAAAAGACCCAAAAAAAATTATATATTTTTTAATACCAACAATATATATATATCTTCAAACAAAATATTACAATAAAGAAGAAACTTCCAAAAAAAAAAAAATCAGAAATGTTTTGGTTTTCCTATAATTACATCCTTTCATTTGAAATGATTCTCCCTTGACTTTTGAGTTAGAAAATTACCCTCCAGTTCGAGAAGAGAAAAAGCAAGCAAAGAAAAAGAAACGTTGACGTCCAAAGTTTTATTCATTTAAGAAAATAAACTCAATTAATATTCAATAGATTCAAATATTATTTCGATCCTATATTTTCGACCACACTCCATTACAATCCTGACAATTCGTGTATTTTCAAAACGTTTGTTTTTGTCATATTAAAAAAAATCAATGTGTAAAATATTATATTAAAATTTTGATAAAAAAATAATGAGTAAAAATAAAAATAAAAGGATCAAAATAGTCACTTTATAAAAAAGAAAAAAAGGACTAAAACGGAAGTGTTTAAACATATTTAAAATATGATAAGTAAATATAAAAGTGAGATGAAATTTAGCATCTAGCAGTCATCTGTAAAATTTGAGATTTATAAAAGTCAACACAAAGCAGCCACTTGATAAAGGGAACCAATAACCCAAGGAAATATAATAAACACATTCTAAAGAAATTGAAGGGAGGGTTTTTTATTTAATTGAATAAAATATTACAGGAGAAATTGAAGATCAACAACATAGTGTTTAGATTCATTGTAGTTGCCAAAAAATAGGCTCTCAATTGTCCAAAACAAAGCCAACATGTGATCAGATTAAAATTACTGGGCTACAGAAAGCTTGCCAAACAAGAAAGCTAACAAACAACAAATCCAAGATTCAGTCGAGATCAAGGAACTCCAATCTTTTCCTAATTGTACCTTTAAGATCACTAGCCTCTCTCTCTGCTTTTTGAGCCTGCAATAATCAATTCATTCTACTTTGTAACTAACTCCCAAAATAATTACTCTCACAAGACTAAGTTCATATGTAACCAAATCTATGATGTGGAAATGTTCTATGAATCCAATGGAGGAGTCCAGAGAAACATGTTGCAAGAAACAGAAAAAGAAAAGTCAAGAGCACTTACCCTTTTAATCTCCACAGCTGATACATGAGTCATGTGTGGAGGGAGCTCCTCCTTCTCCAAGTCCTATTCAAGTCCAAAAAACAGAAGTTTTAAGAGGTGGAAGGGGGGCTGGATAGCTGAAAGTAAAGGAAATCTCAGATTCGTCCTACCAGTTCGCCAAGTAAGACAACGTTTTCGCCTCGAATTACATAGAGACCTAAAGGAATATCACTGTAAAG